GGACTGGTTATGCATAGGACATCAGTTGTTGGCTGCACTTGTGACCTTGATCTTCAACTGTGCAAGACGAATCAAGTCTTGGCTTCTGTATTGTATATCTGATTTCTTGCTACCTTTATGGTGCTGAATGAGTTTTATCGCCATTCATTTATGGAGTTTCTACATGTGCATGCTCAGGTGCAACAACAGGTGTAGTGGTAGTCCCAAGTTCATTATGAAAAAGTACAGGCTCAGTTACAACAGCAACAACAGACGAAATGTTGGGTTCAGTAGTAGGCATCCATTTGATTTCATGATAGTTCATGTTGGTCTCCCCCTAAATGCGTGTTTGGTTCTAAATGGTTGATTTCCAAATTAGGTGACATTCAAGGTAATATGTGTAACACCCCGTGTATACTCGGAATATTAACATTACATCGTATTAAGCGGTGCTTAATTAAAAATTGCGGAATATTCTTTTTCTTTTCAATTATGACGTCATTATCAATTACCAACTTGATTACTTAATGAATTTCATAAAATATCGCCTGTATGTAAATTGCAATAAGACATCTACTGAAATACCTCAATATATAAATAAAGTGTGTATCTAAATCACGGTATTACATCTCGTAATCCGGACAATATCCTGATACATTATTACAACTTCAAAAGGCGCAAGACATAAACAAGACATAACAATACTATGTGTCATGGACAATCCCCATGCTAACCAAATAAGCATAGTAAACAACAAGTCTCAACATAAAACTCCATAAACATAACTGAAGCTATAAGCATAAACAGCATGCAAATCCAGCATCCAATCATGGCAGCATAATATAACAGCAATCTAACTCAGCTCCGGCCTCCTGCCGCCTGAGGTCTCAACATTACCTGACCCTGAAATAAGCATTCCCCAAACGTGGGGTGAGATCTCTAAACAAGAAATCTCAGTAAGACAAGGGGTCCTCAAGGATCTTCCACCCCAAGCTCACTTACATGTGCAATATAAGTTCTAAAAGCATTTATATCATTATCAGTTCCAAAACTATGTAGTGCAACAAATATCTATGGCATGTGTGTAATCACTATCTACTGGCCAGAGAAATGTAGGAATACGTCTATTCCCTACATGTAGTACAAGGAACACCGCTTGCACCTCACCCACAGCCTCACCCTCTTGTATGTTCTACATACTCAGGCTTACCGTATAGGTGGAACACCTCCATGCATATCAACAAGGCACTAACATACAATAGCTCAACAGCATTTCCAAAACATCAAAAGTATGTAACACAGCATGCATATAACCATACCCCCATGGGACATGGTGGAACCACAACATGGCTAAACCGAGGACACGAAAGCTTACCTGTACCCGTATGCCCCTCCGACTCGAACTCGGTATCACAAGGGTCCACACCACAAATAGAATCCAATGCACTCACAGATCTGGTTCAATGACCATCATAGTATCAATATACACATTCTAAAATTCCAAGGAAATCAGGTATTATTTTCTTTTTCATTTCGAACCGGAGATCCTTTTTAAAACATACCATTTAACTTATTTAATTTTAGATCATTATTATTTTATAAATATATATATATATATATATATATATAACCACAAAATATATTATATATATATATAGGGAAAAGTGTCTATCATTTAAAATTACACAACTTACATCCTTTCACTCTCACAAAGAGGTGGGGCCCACACCTTTATTTTTTTTGTCAACTCTCTCTCCTCCTTTATCTATCTCTTTCTCTCTCCTAAAATGACACAACTTTACATCCTTTAAAATTATACACACTTTTCCCATATATATATATATTTAACGTCCCCTGTAACAATCATATAAGCATAAGCATGCCTTTTCTTTATTAGCTTTCATTGCCTTTTCTTTATTAGCTTTTGTACTTCCGTTTCATTCACAGCTTTCGTTGTAACAATATATAAGTATAAGCATGCCTTTTCTTTATTAGCTTTTGACTAATATATATATATATATATATATATATATATATATATATATATATATTAAACTAATGCTTTCAAAGACCCATTTCTAAAATATGCTTTCTTTCAAGTTGGACCAGAGCCTGGCCGATTGCTACAAAAGATTCAGACTTTCAATTTAAAAACTCACGCAAACCAATAAAGTCAGTAAATCACGCAGATATGCTACAGAAGAAAAATAACGCACAGTATTTCAAAGATGATATTGTAACAGTAATATATAACAATAATTTACAAAGGGATAATTAAGTTTACCTTGGTTCTTTTTAGAACAGAAAAATGAAAACTTGAGAGGTTTAGAAAGCACCCAAATCTTCAACAAAGGGTTATCCTTCAACACAACTAAAGCTTTAATGGATGGGTGGTGTTTTAATGGAAGAGAGGAAGAAGAAAAAAAATGGAAACTTTAGAGAAGAAGGCTAGGACTCCAAGAAACTCTAAAGAGAAGCCACACTCAGCCGCTGAGTTTCTTTCAAAAAACACACCTAGGGTTTTGTGCCCAACTATAGTATTTATAGGCCACTTAAGGGTTAAAACACACAGTATTAGCTTTAATTGCTACGCTTAGCATTTTAATCCCAAACTTTGGATTATGAAACTACATAATTTTCTGAGATTTATCATATTTTTCTTATAATTTTCTGAGCAACTTTCCGGTACGCGCTTTTAAGAGCCAGTACCGATTTCTAGCACCAGTTCTCATTATTTGGACTTGAAACTCGTTTTATAAGTCCTACATATTATTCTAGTAATTATCATGCACTTACTTTAATTTTCTGGGATACTTTTTCGGCACGCATTTATACCGACTAGCAGAACCAGTATCTGCACTTTTCTTCCGAAAAACGACTTTCAGCATTCTTAATCACTTATTATGATTATTAAGCCTCATAATTAATTATTGGGGTCAATTATGGAATCATTTCCTATTTTTGCATAATTAATTAATTAAATATCTTAATTAACGGTACGGGTTCTTACAATATGCATATGGTGAGTGGATCGATTATAATAATTGTATCCTTTGGCTGGCTGAATATCTTACAAAAATACAGTTAATGGTTCTAGGGTCAAGCTTTCCTCCAAGGTCAATGTGCAAAAACGCAACACAACCAAATTTTCTTGGGGGGATTTTATACATGGGTTGTATGTGGGGGTAGCTGCCTTGTACAATTTGATAGGGTAATTAAAAGTTTAGAACTCTTGAGGGCTTGCGGAGATATGACGTGAGTTTCTGGTTAAAGTAATTTATAGCATTATCACTCCTTAGGACTTAAATATGAGTTTGAAATTGTGTTCGAATAAGCATGTGGAACTTCTTGAAGACGTATGTCACTTCAGACTTGTTATGGAGGTGATTAACCCGAGTAACCCGATTATGATCATCTATGAATGATACAAACCACCTTGTCCCATTTTGATTTTTGCTTCTGGCTGCCCCCATACATCATTGTGAATGAGAGAAAATGGCCTAGAGGGATAGTCGCCATGGGGGGATAAGTAGCTTTGACGTGTTTATATAATTGACAAATCTCACAAGATGGAAAAACATAATATTTATTTAATTCATTTGGGGTACAATTTGCGCATATAAGAAAAATTTGGATGTCCTAGTCTAAAGGGCCATAGCATTACATTATCTTTGGGATCATCGGACACAAAGTGACTAGTATGCATTCCTCCATCTTGTTGAAGCATGTAGAGACCCTCATAAATCCTTGCATTGCCAATCCTTCTCCTTGATTCTAAATCCTGGAAAAAGAAACTATTGTCATCAAATTTAGCAATGCAATTTAGATTCTTTCTCAATTTACTTATGGAGAGGAGTTTGCAGGTTACGTTTGCTGCATTTGTCACACCAAGCCCTTCGATTCCTTCGAGGTTTGTCATCTGGGATGGTTTCCCTACAGCAAATGCCCCGGCTTCTGGATGTTTTTCAGCACTTTGAGTGAGTTGGAGTCTACTCTCCTCCCATTTAACTTCAGTTGCCACAATCCTGCTCCTAGCTGCATTTAAAACATGGTTATGTACCAAATTTTTTTTATAAACACAGTCAATATCCACCAATTTCCTCTAGGTTGCTGCATCGTTGGGGGTGTCTTACTCGTGCTTGTCGTATAGGCTCAACTGTGTGACCCTCCTATCATCTTGTTTCAACTCCATCAACACTCCTTTAATTTGGAACATGGCCGTGATATTGTCTACCTCAGAATTGGACTCATGAACTTCGTCCTGAATTTCCTTGGCCGACAAACATAGTATGTAGGTTTCCCCAATTTTCGGAAGTCATGGAATTGATGAGCCTTGACATAACAAGGTTGTCATCTACACTCCGGCTCTCATAATTGGGATCATTTTCAGCTGGCTGCGTTGCGGTCCCTATTAAAACAATTCCTTTATTCTACCACTGATAGACATCTTCACACTTTTGGACCCATTGAACCGATGTCCTGTGATCTGATAATGAGAGAGGGACTTTTGGTTTGTGTGGCAATAGGCGCGGTGTTATTTGGGATCATGTTTTGAGGTGTCGCGATGATCCGAGGCTGAGAGGTTGAAGAGGGGTTGTTTTTGGAGGTTTGGTATGCTCTCATGGTACCAAATTGCATGGTGCACTGTGATGGTTCAGGCTCTCAGATGAGTGGTTTGATACCATATAGAAAAGTAGGATGATGAAGGAAGAATTTGGAAAATAATAGTTCGTCATTTTCATGGAGAAGGGATTATACAAGATACAATATCTAATGTTGCAGTAATTAAAACTAATTGCTAAAGAATAAGAAAAAAACGGATTAGAGATCTTTGATTTGAAAAGTCAAGGAAATCAAATCAGGAAATAATTCAAATTCAAAAATAGAATTAATAGGGAAATTAATTAGGGAATTAAAACAGCCAACTGTATAATCTGGAATTAAAATGGCTAGCTGTATAATCTTCAGCGACACTAATATTTCAAGTCCTTTTCGATTTATTACATTACTTCGATTTTCAGGTTGTACGCTTTCGGTTTTTGGAGAAACCAAAAGAAGATGATTTCAGTCTAGAGTTGTAAGTTTCTTTTGTACCTACAATTTGTTTTTTTCTTTAAAATTATATATACAATCCTTGATAAATGCACTTAATCAAGGAAAAATGATATGCACACAAATAAACCCTTCACAAACTCCCATGCAATCCACCTGCTAGTATCTTAACTCTAAATTAAAATGTATCTGGGGGTTCATGTATGCTTTCTGATAATCTAGGTCAAAGCTTCACACATATGATGATGTTGTTATAAGAGTTGCTCAACATCTTGGTTTGAATGATCCTTCTAAAATCAGACTCACATCTCATAACTGCTACTCCCAGCAACCTAAACCACAGCCTATCAAGTACAGAGGAGTAGAGAATTTGTCTGACATGCTGGTTCACTACAGTCAGGTATTATTCACAAGTGCAATTTTTTCTGAAGAGACTCTGTTGCATTTTAAACCTTGCAATTCGCAGGGACTTCAAAATGGCTGGTTCTTGTACTTGGGCTTCTGATATTGTGAATTTTTTTTTTTTTTTTGTTTCTAGATTTCTGATATTCTTTACTATGAAGTATTGGATATCCCTCTGCCAGAATTGCAGTGCCTAAAAACTCTTAAAATTGCCTTCCATCATCCTACCAAGGTTGAAGTGAGTATTATTAGTGGTTTTGTACTCATTTTACGATGAAATTGTGTTATATTTATATTTATATTTATATCCTAACAGAGTTATGCTTCCTCAGGTGGTGATATATACTCTTAGATTACCAAAACAGAGTACCGTGGAAGATGTAATTAAGGATCTTAAATCTAAGGTAAACCATATAGTGGATGTTGATACATTAATCTGTCAGCTATATTTTATTGCCAGAGACTTGAAGACACGTTGACATTCTGGCTTGTGTGCCTAATGCAATACTCTGATTTAAGGCAGATGTTTACCATTTAAAATTTCCTTATTGAAAATAATTGGTTTTGAAAACTTTTTATATACTTGGGCAGGTTACGGCTTTTTATGTATACAACAAGTTAGATAAATTTTATATGTAGGCTGGTCACCAGATTTATAGAATTTGGTCAAATATTGATGTATAAGAGAAATGATTCCAATGAAAAAAATTTATGAACATTCAAATTCTCCATATCTAAATTTAATAATAAAAGTTGAAATCCGAAGGTAGATGATATCGTTGATATGCCTCATATTGTTGACTCATAGCGTTAATTCTTCAACTCAAGCAACTCAAAGTTAACTAGCCCTAATCACCTTTTGAATGAGAGGCAGTTTGATCGTGAGAAAAGGGGTGGGAGGGGGAAACATGGTAGGTAAACAACTTTTCCTTTATCGAATCTAATGTGGTCCTCATCAACTGGATTTATTTATAGTTTTTGTGTTGATGATTGGCTTTGACTATCTAATTGAAGCAAATATTTGTTTATATGTCCACCATTGCATTCTTTGGTAGTATGCCTCAAAATTTCACTTTCTATTTTACTGAAAGTATATGGATTATGGACTAATATTTTGTGTTATGTGAAATAGGTGGATTTATCTCATCCTGATGCTCAACTAAGATTGTTCGAAGTTTTTAATCACAAGATCTATAAGGTGCTGAATAATATAGCATTAAATATGATTTCCTTTTATTGGTTCGTGTTCTCATGAGGTGAAAAGCAGATTGATCAGCATCACTCAGATACACTGTTGGCGTGGCCTCGCATTGAAGTGATGCCACCAGTTTGAAAAAAATATATTATAATTATATAACTATAAAAATATCAAAAGCATGATTTTGATGTAATTTAGGACATGATGAAGTACCAAAGTTATAAAGTGATAGAAAGAGACATATGAAAGCTTAAAAGCTTATTTGCCCACAACCCAATGCAGTACTCTTCTTTTTATTATGTTCTGAAATTAAAATTTCATTTCTGTTTTTTATCAATTCTGCCAATGAGAATGACATTTGACTGAAATATTCCACCTGTATTTATATACTTAAATGTAATGATGTGCTTAAAGGATAAGGAAAATCTATCGGCCTATCCATTTATTTATTTATTTTTGTTTTGGGGTGGCAGTTATGCCTCTAGTGGTTGCATTTTATTTTGGTCTTTCAAACTGCTTAATCTGTTATCAATTTTCATGTCTTCATTATATTTTTTTATGAGCTGCTTTGTTTGTCTTATTTTCTTTTTGATTTTATCATATAACAATGTTTTTGAAGATGTTTCAAATTAAGTAATTTCAATTCTAATTTTATGATCTACCTCTTGCAGATTTTCCCTCTCAGTGAAAAGATTGAGAGTATTAATGATCAGTATTGGACCTTAAGAGCAGAGGAGGTAAAGATTTGTTATTTTTATAGCGTTATTTGTATTGTATTGGAAACCATATAAAGTAGTGTCGAAGTTTATTGTATAGACTAATCTTACGGTAATTAGTGTAGCATACATATTTGTTTTTATTATTTTCTAGCTATATAATCTACTCTTTGATGCGTAGTTCAACGCACAGGTTTCACCAAATATCCTCTTTCGTTAACATGTTATCTAGAGCTTGATAAGAGGCAACATGAGTCTATAACTACTTGGTGAACCCGCTGTCCACTGGTGACATTTTTTTTCCGGAAAGCTTGTCCCCACTCCAGTTTTTTGTCTTTGTAGCATGTGTCATTCCTGCTAGTCTGGAACTCCTTTTCCAACAAACACTGCCGTCATTTGCTGCAAGTTTCATGGATCCTTGGGGTAATTGCATCATTTTGCGCTGCTGCAATGCTTCCATGTTATGTCGTGTCGTGACCAGCACATCACGCTGTGCTTTTTGTTGCAGTCGTCATGGCTGGAAATTGTGGCCATTGTGGCTGCTTTCTGTGGTTTCCCACCCACAATTTCTGGGGTTTCCTTTCTACCTCTGTTTTGAGGTTCACAGAAAACCCAACTTGTTTCTGGCCTCCCACCATTTTTTGGGCCAAGCCCAGCCGTTTTGTGCCAACTCATTGGTACTATTCTTTTATTATGTTCTGAAATTAAAATTTCATTTCTATTCACACACACTCCTCTTTAAGTACTTTGCAGGTTTGTGCTATGTTCTCTCTCTCTCTCTCCCCCCTCTCTTTACTGTGATTTCTTTCCTTTGCTCTCACTTCATTCCTCTGTGTTCTGCTGCCTCTGTTCCTCATCATTTAATGAATAATGATGAATGTCGTTAACTTTAATATTTTTTATTTTTGAACATATATATATGTATGTATGTGGTATAAATTATTTTCTTCGTATACATTAGCTTTAGTCCTGCTAGCAGCAATCCTACCATAGCAGTTTTGGGATCAGCTGCTCTGCACTGCTATCCTGACTTTACTCTAGGAATTGTTCATTAATGTCATTTTGTTGTTTTGACATGGTGTTATAGTTTTATTAGTGCATTTTTACTCTTCATTTTACTTTCTTGTCACAAATATAATATTTTTTTTGTACTATTGAAGATTCCTGAAGAAGAGAGAAATCTTGGCCTGCATGATCGATTGATCCACGTTTATCATTTTATAAATGACCCTGCACCAAATCAGGTGATAAGTTTAAATGTCTTGTATTTTTATACTTTTTTGGTGCTTCTTCGCTCTAAATATAAATCAGGTTTCAAATAATTGAATCATATTACTGCCTCGAATATAGTTTTTTCTGATGTTTGTATATTTTCTCTTTTTTATTCTACTCTGGGTGGGGGGCCACTTTTGGAATTAGCAGCCAGTTCAGAATTTTGGAGATCCTTTTTTCATGGTTATCCACGAGGGTGAGACATTAGCTGATGTCAAATTGCGGATACAGAAAAAGTTGCAAGTTCCAAATGAGGATTTTTCAAAGGTATATATGCCTAATATAATTAAATTATCTGCACTATTTTTAGGCATTTTCAAGCTTTGTTACTCAACTTCTTATGGAACATTTAGACTGTATTTCAAAGTATGTGAAATTGTGTTTCATCTTGTTTCATTCCGGCTTCAATTACTTTTTGAGTGGAGACTTAACAATGTTTTATTTCACAATCAATATAATTTTCTATCTGTTGTCTGTCTTTTCAGTGGAAGTTTGCATATCTGTCTCTTGGTCGTCCTGATTACCTACAGGATTCGGATATTGTTTCTACTCGGTTTCAGGTCTGTCGATCCTCCCATTCTCTCGTGTGTGATTTTTCATTTTGGTCGTACATGTTTGAGTCTTACGCTGTTTCTGGAATTCCTTAGGTATATTCCTCGATTTCTACAAGGTTAATTAATTTATTACAAACTTGTACTTTTTGATTGTTTAGAGAAGGGATATCTATGGCTCTTGGGAGCAATATCTTGGACTGGAACATACTGACAATGCTCCAAAAAGGTCCTATGCAGTCAACCAGGTAAATATTATTGTCACTGACAATGCATTTGGGGGATGGTTTGTGCAGCAGTATATGTGGTATCTGTACCGTCTTAAGCCTGAAATATGGATATCATACACACAAAAAAAACCACTCCCCATTAAATCCTGACTAGTGGGGTAGGGGGGGGGGGGGGGGACAATCCTTATACACAGTCTTCTTACCCTTGCATATTTGCAAGAAGACTATTTTCCGGATTCAAACCTATGACCTTTCAGTCACAAAGAAGTAGCTTTACCACTGGCCCAGGCTCGCGTTAAATATGGAGATCACAATCATTGAAAATTTAGGATAAAACAAAACAATATATAGATTAAGAAGAAAATAGTCTTACTTTCTGTGCATAGATAATATTTAGTATTTCTAAGAAAATATGACATCATAGAATAAGCTATGAGCTTGTGATCTATAGTGAGATCTGCTCTTGATAGCAATTGAAAACTAAATGGTTAATTAATATGTAACGTGATTGAAAGCTCTTTTGTCCAATACTCTAAAGTGGAATTCTGCTAACTTTTTTATGGACATATGTGGATTGGGTTGACGGGTTTTTAATTTTAATTTTTATATATAAGAAAAAACTATCCAAAAACTAAGCATAGAAGAAAATTGTTTTAAAATTGTTATTCAAGATTCTAGATGAAGTGTTTGATCGAGTCTCAAAAATGGAGGCTATACAATATGCCTAGTGTACAGGTTTGATGGAAAGATATAGAAAGAAACCAAAAGACATATATGACTGATACAGAACAAGCCTGTGATATGGTACGGTGAGGTGCTATCATGCCTCTGGACATTAAAGGATTTTGTACTCCATAGAGTTATAAAGAATATGTATAATGGGGCAAGGTCTAGTGTGCAAATGCATAGAGGGATAATAAAAAATGTTTCTATAACAATAGGTTTGCTCCAAGTCGATGAGTCAAGAGGACTTAATAATAAGAGAGGACTTAATAATAAAATTAAGTTGTGAGAGAAAGGTAAGCATTGATGCTTTATAGCTATAGCCCGTAGCAGTTAATGAATGTTGGGTACTAAATTGTTAACGAAAGCGAAAAAAATAAGTGTAGTGGAAATGAGAATATTGAGGTGGATGCATGGACAGGCATGAAAATTATTGAAAAGAATGTATCTGGGATGAAGTTTTGGTAGAAGCTATTGAGGAGATGATATAAACACATCCAAGGTGGTTTGGTAATGTGTGAAGAGTATCATTGGCGGCTTTGATGGATATAATAGAAGATTAAGGACAGCCTACTGAATGAGATTGTATAAAATGATTTTACTGAAAATTTGGTTTTTTGATAGAGCTCAAATCTCAATGGCGTCAATTGATCTATTTAGCCTACCCCAAACATCATAACCTCAAGTTTATTGGTTAAAGAATTGTTATTAAATGAGGAACAATACTTAAAGTGTAAGACATGCTTCTGAAATAATAAAACAAGAGGAGCTCATTTAAACATAAATAGTTTGCTCTTATTTCCTGCTACTCCTTTCTCCTCTTCACGAAACATTCATAGATGAATTGCATTTAATACTGCTATTAAAAGTTCTTGTTAGCTTCATAAATTAATTGGAAGGAATGTTTTAGTTTATGCAATTGATGTTTAATATTTTGAACCAAATAATGGGAAGAATATACATTGCCTGGAAATAATTATATTTGCAGATTTCAGGAGTCTATAATGATTTTTTTTTCTATTTTGCAGAATCGTTACACACTTGTGAAGCCAGTAAAAATCTACAACTAGAAAATATTGTACCTTTAAAAATGACCTTGTATGAGCTCTGTACATGTTCTGAGGGACCTTGTCTGAAATTGTTTTTGATGAATTTTGTTTTTTGTAGAGCTTAATGACCTCAATTGATCTATTTAGAGAACCCTACTAAGGCTTGTTGATTGTGAAATTTTTTTATAATTGCAGTTACTTAATACTTTGGTTGAAAGAATTTTTGTTATTTGAGGCAGAATACTCATCGTCTGAATTAATTTAACAATGAAAGCTTATATCAATACACCCATGAAATCTTTGCTCTTCTTTCCGACAACAGACGACCCCTTCTGCCCTGCAAGAAACATTAAGAGATATATTGTATTTAATAGGTCTATCTAAATTTATTTTCAGCTTCATAAAATGATTTGAAGGGTTAGCATATGAACTTGAGGTTTGGTTATTTAAACCAAATCTAGTAATAGATAAAATATGCATTAGTTAAAATAATTTTATTTGGGATGTAGCACAGGATTCAAGTTGAATGAATGAAATTGTGAAATGTCTCTGGTATAATTTATGCTATTAAAGTGTCTATCAGACTCGGTGAAAATTCTTTCAAATAGCAATAAGAACATCATGCTTTATAGGTTATAGTAGTGAGTTGGGAATCCACATGTCAGCTAAAGTAAAAAAAATGAGAATGATTAGGTTTATGTGTAAATATACAAAACAACATTTTGAATGGATGTATCTGAGACAGGTTTGGTAGCACCTATTGAGATGATAGAAACTTGTTTAAGGAGGTTTGGTCATGTGAGAAGAATATTATAAGATGCTTACCATAAAACATTTGATGATCTGCTAAAAATGGCCATGTATAAATCGATTTTACTGAAACTTCGGTTTCATGATAGAATTCAATGCGTCAAATGATCTATGTAGGCAACCCTGCTTAATAGGATAACGCATGTTGCTAGCTGAAAATTGTTGTTATTGCAGTATCTTTAGGTTCTTGGGTAAAATGAATGTCTTTAAATGAGGAAGTGTACTTTGAGAATAAGACTTCGTCTGAATTAATAGAACAAGAAAAGCTTAAGTAAACACATACAGACTTGAATCTTGCTATATTTTGCTCTTATCTTCTACTCTATGATATATCACTGCTCTTTTTTCTAGCTACTCTTCCCCTCCTCCCTTACAAGAAACATTCATAGATGAATTTTATGTAATCCTTCTATGTAAAGTTGTTATCAACTTGATAAAATAATTGGAAAGAAATTTAACTATATGCACATGAGATTTGGTAATTTAAACAAAGTTAATAATAGCTAGAATTCAAGTCACTGGAAATAATTTTATTTGCAGGTTTCGGAAGACTACAATGATTATTTCTCAATTTTGCAGAACCGTCAAACATTTGAGAAGCCAGTAAAAATCTACAACTAGAAAAGATCTGTATCATTTCAATCAGTCAATATAATAATTCCGTATGCCAGAGGCACTTGCAGCTTTCTGAAGGTGCCAAAAGAAATGTAGAGATGCTGTCAATCTTCTTATTTGAAGTTGTCTGTTCAAGTTCATAACTTTCAGCTTTGGGGATAGATTTATAGCCTTGAACTGTGTTAGTGGTGGTTAGAACTCTTTGTCTGAAGCAGTTGTCTCTTCGGTGGTTAGAAGGTTGAGTTTTAATTCCTTTGTAAATTTAGTACATAACAGGGTTTGGTTTTTCACAAAAGTTACATTTGATTCCTTTCATTCTGGGATCTTCGTTTGCTTCCCTTGTGTATATGTTTTTGCAGGGTCTTCAATGTAATCATTTCATATGCCTTTTTCTGACTAAATTTTTATTAGAGGCATATTGATTTGTGTAAATGAAACATTAGTTTGCCCTCAGTTTGTTTCTCATCTTCACATAGCTGTTTCTCTATTTTCTTCTATATTGCCAAAGAAACCTCTGTTCAAACTAATTTACACGAGTCACTTGTGTTGCCCTTCCCTATTTCTTGAACGTGTCATGATGTTGGGTAATCAACATCACTAATGAGGGCCAACTACACTTCAAATCCTGTACCGTGCAAATATACAAATGTGGAATGGTCGTATATAATGGTATAAAATAATTCGGATGTGTTTTTCCCAAAGATAAAATGTCACAATATTGCAGAAAATTTGCATGAGCAGTCATTTTTATTCGTGTCTACATTTGAAGATGTCTTGCTTCTGAGATGGCCGTTTATCCATATCGGACGTATCAGTTGGTAATGATACCAAAGTTTTGTGACTTTTTTTTAAATAGTCCTGTGAATTTTAAGCAATTATAATCTTGATTTTTTATGTATAATTCAATAGTTAAATATTTGCTCAGTGGTCGTTTATTGCCTCTTACCATCTATGTTTGCTTTCTTTTTCTGTTTAGCAATATCTCTAATCTGAATTTGCCATATATATATATATATATATATATATATATATATATATATATGAGATTAGTGTTGCCCATACCGTAGAAGATAAAATTATCTCATACAAACACATAAAAGCATATGGGTTCATTTTTTTTTATCTATATTCTCTTCTCATGGCCCATAAATCTTTTACCTCTTAAACTCTAACTCATCCTATTATTACATATGAGAAGATACAAAACATGGTAGATCACTTCATGACACATGAGAAGCTACAAAACAAGGTAGATCACCTCATGATAGCCCCAAAAATTACCCTATTTTGAATTAAAATCTGGATGATTATCAATCACTCCACAAAACGCAGCATAAAACACGACTATCATGTGGCTGTCCCAAAAAAGAATCATGATAATCAATCATTACACTCATATATTTATATCCGATGGGTATCTACGTATTTTTGACATAAAAAAGGTAGAGGGTATTCACTTCAAAGCCATTTCACATACTGAGATTCAAACATTACAGAAAACCGTTGGTCACAATTTTTTTTTTTCATTTTTAATTATTGGGAAAAGTGTTTGTCTTTTTAAATGATACAACTTATATTCTTTCACTCTCACAAAGAGGTGGGATCCACATCTTTATATTTTTTTGTCCACTCTTTCTTCTTTTATCTATCTCTTTCTCTCACTTAAAATGACACAAATTTACATTTTTTAAAATGATACACTTTTTTTTCTTAATTATTTGGAACAAACTACTTTAGGAAACTAATAAAACTGGGGTGTGTGTTTGTGTGTATAATACATAATAGAGGTATATGGTCAGAATAAAGGTGAGTGACTTTAAAGGCAAAGGACTTAAAACAGATTATTTGAAAGGTGTCTGTCTATCTGTTGTTTTTTAGTGCGTCAATCCAATAACTTCATTATATTTCAGCTCATCAGACGACAACTAAAATTCAAAAGGTGTACGTGTTATTGAAAAAAATAATAATAATAATAATAATAATAATAATTAACACGAGTTATTAGTCCGAATGCTGAGGAGAGCGGTGTCTTTTAAGCATGGTCTTGGGAAAGTTTTGCCTTCTTAAATAGATCCATCTATCTGGTGGCTTCCGAATATTCACATAAATAAAATACATATTTATATGGGTTATATTTATCTTATATTGCATAAGATAAATAAATTTCTTACACACATAAAATGGAGGGGATTCCACATTTATTTATTTTTTTTCTCCTCTTATACATGGATCTTACTTGTAATTTTATTTCTATAACATGAGACAATCATTTTACTACAACATAAAATAAATATAACCTTATTTATATGTATAATAACACAAGCTTGGTCGAAGTCCCCGAGGAAAAAAAAAGCATTGCAATTTGCAAAGCTTGAAAAAGAAATATTCTTTCACATGCAATAGAATAAGCATTATTTGGATTTGAAGACAAAAGGAGACGGAGCATACAACATATAATTAATTAAGTCATAACTAGACTATTGACAATTGGGAAAAGTGTGTATAATTTTGAAGGATGTAAAGTTGTGTCATTTTAAGAGAGAGAAAGAGATAGATAAAAGAGGAGAGAGAGTTGACAAAAAAAAATAAAGTTGTGGGTCCCACCTCTTTGTGAGAGTGAAAGGATGTAAGTTGTGTAATTTAAAAGTATAGACACTTTTCCCTTGACAATTTCACCTGAATAACCATTCCTTGGTTATACCGTTCAATCACTTCACGCCGTTATTTTCATAGTTCACATAATCATCGTATCATATCATAACAACAAAACCAATAATTGTCTCACATGCATGCACCCTCACTTTCTACACCAAATTTCTCTCTATATATACACAAACACACAGACACACACACAAGGAACATTGATATAATTAAGCAACCTAGCTCTTACTTGTACTTAAGAGGATTCAACATTCAACTCTTCCACCATGGCCACTTGTACTAGTACTAGTACAACTACAACCTTTCCAACAGTGGACAAATGCAACTCTATAGGGAGAGAAAAACACACTGTGGTTGCAGACATGGATGGAACCTTACTTAGAGGCCGTAGTTCATTCCCTTACTTTGCTCTTGTGGCCTTTGAAGTTGGTGGTGTTCTAAGGCTTCTCTTCTATCTCTTGGCTTCCCCTATAGCAGGCATTCTCTATTACTTTGTCTCTGAATCTGCTGGAATACAAGTTCTTATCTTTGCATCAATGGCGGGGATGAAGATCTCAAGCATTGAGTCAGTGGCGCGTGCTGTTCTTCCCAAGTTTTATTCAGGTGACCTCCATCCTGAGAGCTGGCGCGTGTTCTCTTCTTGTGGGAAGCGTTGTGTTCTCACTGCTAATCCAAGGATCATGGTGGAACCATTCTTGAAGGAGTTTTTGGGTGCTGATATGGTTTTGGGGACTGAGATAGGGAGTTATAAGGGTAGAGCAACTGGGTTGATTTGTGAGCCTGGAATACTTGTTGGAATGAAGAAAGCAGATGCACTCAAGAAAAGTTTTGCTGATGAACAACCTGAAATTGGGCTTGGAGATAGACTCACTGATGCTCCCTTCATGGCTTTGTGCAAGGTAAATTAATTTCATTCTTCAAAACTTGCTAATTCAATTTATGTTGTTTTGTTATATATATATATATATATATATATATCGGCTCATTAATTATCCGATATTGTCAGATCCGGTGGTTCAAACTCGAAATCTGTAGTTATATTTCAGTCACTTAAATGGGTTTTGATTTTTTTCGTGCTGTATGAAAATTGTTTTATCATGTTATGACTCATCTAATGGTAAGACTCACGTTTATTTAAAAAAAAATATGCACACACAAATCGAAAGATCAGAGTATGAGAAAAAAAATTTAATGTATAAGTGTTTTTTCCCACTTAAATTGCCTTTTGTGAAATATAAAGAGAAAAGACGTACGATAATTCAAGTGAGATAAAATTGATTATGGCTTCATGGCACATCATGGCATGCAACTGTATATGTATTAAGCCCATTTAAGTAGATTTCATAACTAAACTTGGTGTTATTCATTTTACTTTTTTTTATTTCTTTGCCTCCTTGTTGCATTATATATACATTCATTAATGAATGACCTGTTTGAAAGCATCCTCTTACATTACTTAATTGAAAACAAATTTTTCTTAAAAAAAGGAAGCCTCATCATTTATATATATAGCATTTCACAAGATTGAAAGGGACTTTTGATGAATTGAGAAAAATGATATTCAAACCAACACACAATTACAAAAGTTGTAAACCCCTTTATATTACGGGAAAAATGTGTGTCATTTTAAAAGATGTAAAGTTGTGTCATTTTAAGAGAGAGAAAGAGATAGATAAAAGAGGAGAGAGAGAGTTGACAAAAAAAATAAAAGTATGGATCTCACATTTTTAATGATAAACATTTTTTTCTTATATTATATATGCTTGCAGGAGGCATACATAGTGCCAGCAAAACCAGAGGTGAAAGCAGTGACATGTGAAAAGCTTCCCAAGCCCATAATCTTCCATGATGGAAGACTTGTCCAAAAACCAACACCCCTCATTGCCTTACTAACACTTGTATGGATCCCATTAGGGTTTCTCTTAGCATGTCTCAGAATTGCAGCAGGGTCACTTCTTCCAATGCCATTAGTCTACTATGCATTTTGGGCACTAGGTGTACGTGTCATCATCAAAGGCACTCCACCTCCTCCAGTCAAAAAATCCAACGGCCAAAGTGGTGTTCTCTTCATTTGCTCTCACAGAACCCTACTTGACCCCATTTTTCTCTCCACAGCTCTTGGACGCCCTATACCAGCAGTAACCTACTCAGTTTCACGCCTTTCTGAGATCATTTCACCAATCAAAACCGTTAGGTTAAACCGTGACAGAGCCAAAGATGCTTCCATGATCAAGAAACTCTTGGAACAAGGTGACTTGGCTATATGCCCTGAAGGAACAACTTGTAGGGAACCTTTCCTTTTAAGGTTTTCTGCTTTGTTTGCTGAGTTAACAGATGAACTTGTTCCAGTGGCTATGGTTAACCGCATGAGCATGTTTCATGGAACAACTGCTAGAGGGTGGAAAGGAATGGACCCTTTCTACTTCTTCATGAACCCTAGCCCTGCTTATGAAGTAACATTCTTGAACAAGTTACCTAAAGAGTTAACTTGTGGTTCTGGCCACAAGTTAAGCCATGATGTTGCAAATTATATTCAGAGGGTTATTGCTTCAACTTTGTCTTATGAGTGCACTAGCTTTACAAGGAAAGATAAGTATAAAGCACTTGCTGGTAATGATGGAACTGTTGTGGAGAAGCCTCTGCTGCTTAACGCTAACAAAGTCATGGGTTGCTGAATTTTTGTGTTCTCTAATATAAATGGTGTTTTAATTAAATTCTCCTCTCTTTTTTATTTTAGAAATTTGAAGTTCATGATATTTTTATATGTAATGTAGGTGATCATGAAATAAAAAAATGACCTACAACAACATATGCACTAGTTCTCGAGAAAAAAATATTGTTGAAAGTTTCAAAGCTTATAGGGATTTATAAAATGAGTATGTTATGTATGTTGCTTTTTTTTTTATTGTTTAACTAATTAATATTTAAGTTGACCTTGTCTTGCAATTATGTGTGGCAATTGTATTTGTAAATCCAAAACATAAAGCTGCAGATTCGATTATGGAATATCCTACCATCGTTCTAAAATGACAAAGAAACCAACAGATTTATATCTCCAATTCATCATTGAATTAACAAAGCTATCTAATAGGAGGGGAAAAACCTTGACATATTCAATCATTTGAATAATATAACGCCATAGTTAATATTAATGAGCTTAGAATATAACACTGCAACTATTTAGGAACATGACTTTTTACTATCACTGAGATGAAAATAACAATGTTTCATACCAAGAATCAAAAGTTAATGTTGGATCTCAAAATTCGCGGTGTCTATGATGCAAACAATATATAACCTTTGATTCTTAGGAAAGTGTATGCACACAATGACAATAAATAAGAATTAGGGTTCCCTTGTAGGAATTATTGGATCTGCGGAAGCGTTTAGACCATTGCGGTTTGGGATGAGACAGATCATCATCGTTTTATGTTTACCTTTTGTTGCGCAGATCTGTGCAGTATCTCCTCGTGTTTGATTCCTCTTCATGAACTGTTCTCCTCTGCACGAACAATCTCCTTGAGACTGGCTAGAGGTAGATCTTCCAGACTATGTCTCAAGAGAAAATAAGGTTGGTGTGTGGGCACTCTCTCACTTTCAAGGAGATGACCTTACCTCAGCCTCTTTAATCACCAAGTGAAGACGTTAGAGGCTAATGACTATAAGTGTAGAATATATATGAGTTCCAAGAAACCATAGCCCTAAGTTAAATGAGCTCTAGATTTCTTGGGCTCTTCTTACACACTAGGCCTTATTGGACTTTAGTGAAAGAGCAAAATACAACAATCTCCCACTTGCTCTTGAGTACAAAGCCCAAGTCCATGTATCCCACTAATCGTCATCAACTGAAATTGCCCCATCCCTTATCTCGAGCTAGCTTTGAGATCTACCAGCTGTTATTAATCGAGGCTCCTAATATAATGACCGAATGATTATCTGATTCGGTGTTACTCCACTAAAAGCCCAAACTTGAACTCCAAGATTAATAACATATATAACATGAATATGTATTTCCCCTTTGTAGAATGTCAATAATTGACTGATGAACTTTTTGTTACTCAATCAATTATTTATTCCCTTGACTATAATAGTTTCTCTAATGGATTATATGCACTGGCCATTATCTTCAATATCTAAGTACCGAAACATATCAAGGGAACATATCCTACAAAGTCCATGTTGTTTATCTCATAAATACCAATAATCAAATAATCTCACTCCCAAAATACCGAGTTATTGGTTGTCAATAGATCAAATCTCACTAGTTGGTAAATCAAAGAATGAAAACTATTTGATTACTTATTTAAAATAAACTCAGGATTAAGAGTAATCACATAACTATAGTTATTTGGAGATTTGACACCTTATGACAGAGAAAAACAACTTTAATCAAATCTCTCCTTGATCCTTTCAATGTAAATGTTAATTCACACCAATATTTTATAATGATTCGAGCAAAATCATTTCATAAAATATTGCAGTCTAAATAAAGCATCCAACTTTATTTAATAGCTGTCAACCAATTCATCAATCGTGAGAACATATGATCATATCCTCTATAAACGTATCCAAACAATCACATACTCCACAATTGATCCGGACCTTAATATTTGTAAATTGTGTGCACTAAACAATGAATAAAACCTCATTTGTAAAATTCAGAAAAATGATTATATTGTTTCATTGTCTTACTCTAAGAGCACAATGAACACAATATCTTTCACTTGCTTAATGCAAGTCTGGGATCCTCCTAAGACCTAGAGAAGTAACATGCCTCTTGAACACAAAGTTTAGAAAAACTCTTAGTAATTGGGTTTGCAAGATCCACCTCAAATGCTATCTTAGTTTAGTGGCAAAACTCATAGCTCGAGGTCGATTTTCTTGAGTCAATATTCACTTGAAAAATTAAATTTGTGAAAATTTAACTTTTCAAGACTCCTATTAGAATATACCAGCAAATAACTTCTCATTCTCCGAAGATACTTAAGTACATGCTTAACAATAATCTAGTGTTCTTCTAGGTTCGGAATGATACCGTCTCACTACTCCCACTGTGTGACAGATATCTGGTTTAAAGCCCAACATGGTATGCATGAGACTATCTATTGCCAAAGCATAAGGTATTATACTTATGCATTCTTCCTTCTTAGGAGTCTTTAGAAGTAACTCTTTAGGAAGATAAATTCTATATCTGAGAGATATAATTCTCCTCTTAGAATTTCCCATGTTGAATTTTGGCAAGAGTTTTGTCAATGTAAATAGCCTAAGGTAATGCCAATAACTTATTCTTTCGGTCTCATAAGAGTTTTATAACAAAAATATAATTGGCTTCCCTGGGACTTTCATATCAAAACGCTTACTCAGCCAACTCTTTATGCTTGATATTACCTTCACGTTATTTTCAATAAGGAGCATATCATCTACATAAAATATCGTAAAGCTACTGCTTCCCCTTGGATTCTTTACATACAAATACACACCACTTATCAAAGTTCTCTCAAAATCAAAATTCTGATAACCTTATCAAAACTGATATTCCAAGACCTGAATACTTGCTTAAGTTTATAAAATAAATATTTACAACTTACATATCATGTGTTCCTGCCTATTTACTATAATTTTTTTTGTTTTTTGGTGCAAGAGAAAAACATACCCCATATTGAGTATGTATTAAATATTCAATGCAAACCCACACGCAACATATATACACCAAAACATTTTTATTTTTTTTGAGATACAAGGAAACTAAAAACAAGCTAGAACTAAGACACATTCTTGGGACACCTATGCCCAATTCATCTGTGCGGATCAGACGCACACCTAAACATTGGTTAATAGCCTATTTTCAGTATTTTGCGTGTTCCATGACCTACGTAACGAAAGCCATTGAATTAATTAATAATTAATATATTATTATTTTAAAATAAACGAGTGTCACGTGGCTGGCTAACCATTATGAAAGTTCTTACTTTAAGGTCACGTCAACGGGCGTCTCTCATTTATTTCCTTGCTTCTTGTTCCACGTATTAATTAATGAAAGGGAAATGTATCCATTATGAAAGGATAGGGATTTGTCCCCTTGATAATGATATGACCCCTCCATCTTCACTTAATTGGTTCGATTCCTTCGTTTTGTCCCTCACCACTTAGTTTAGTTTCTTCTTTACACGCACTTACTTTTTATTGGAAATTAATTTGTTAAATAATATGATATAAATTAAGTATCATATCTGTTTAGGGTTGATTTTTTCTTCAATTACTATATATAAGCCTAATACGACATTGTATTTGGGCGAAAATCATGATATTTTTGTAATTTTAATTTATTTTAGAGTTATTATAGTCCTTATAATTATAATTTTTTAATCTTTTAATCCTAAACCGACGTCGTTTTAGAAATAAATGCAGATAACTTATATACATTAACTGTAGAAATAATTTTCTGATCTGCTTATACATAAACACTTATAAGTTTTTTAAAATCCGTATTTAAAGTTGATAATTAGTGAGAATTTTTTTCACGAAAAATATGTTACACTTTTTTAATATTTTCTTTATTATTAAATAAAATTATACATTAATCTCATTAAATAATTTACATTTAGTACTTATTAATAAAATTAATACAGATTAAAGAATACATAGAAAAAATATATTATTAACATTTCTCTTTCTTTAATTGGCACGAGAGTTAAAGCAAAATTAAAAAATACCACATGATAGGCTCGCACCCAATAATTAACCTTATCTCATTTGATGGATTCCTATCCAATTTTAACAATTTGAAGCTATTTTTTTTTTCCTGGTCGTTGAAGCATTTCACCACTAGAGTCTTTTTTAGGATATTTTTATTTGGAGAATATATTTATCATATTATATAAGATAATTTTATCTTATATAATATATATGATTAAAAAAATATTAAAAAGTGAGTGAGACCATACAACATGAAAGACATATTTCTTTTTTTATTATTAACACACAATAATAATAGAATTACAAAAACAAGAAATTGGGTGGATCTAGAGGTGAAAAAAGGGGTAATGTATTCCGCCGCTTACCAGTCTCAAAATGAATCACCTTGTCTAGACTCATTTTTTAAAGTGAGTTAAAAAATTTAACTCATCAGATTTAACTCTCTTACTCCATCCCATCAACTTGTCTATATATTAAAAAGGAAAAATATTTCTGTTTTGCTTTAAAATTTGCTTTTCTATTACACTTACTTAAAAGTGAATGGGCACAATCTTGAAAAGAAGAAAGAGAAGAAAATTAGAGGGACACAAAAGAAGTGTATAACAGATTAACAGTTTTGATGGGGGAGCATTATCTCCAATATTTGTCAAGTTATCCCAAATTCTTTTATAAATTATATTCGATAATACATGCTATGTATGATTTAAATTAGTGTTCTATTATGTGAATCATTTAAGTAAATACCTTATTTTGATAGGATATGTTCTTATGTTACTTTATTTTTTATTGAAAAACAAATGATACATTAGGAAAGGATATTGTACCGCTCCCAACTTTAGGGAACTCCAGAGAAAAAGTGATCGAAAGTTAGGCGAATAATATCATATTAGAAATTCTATAGAATCCATATTAACTTTATTATTAGAGAGGTGTTTATATATAAATCAAAATAATATTTTTGAAGATAAGTTATCTTTTTTTTTTGGTAAATAAAAGAAGATAAGTTATCTGTATTTACTCTCAAAACGACGTCGTTTTGAGATTGAAAAATTAAATAATTATAATTATCAAGACTATAATAACCCAGAAATAAATTAAAATTATAAAAATACCATAATTTCTGTCCCAAAATGACGTTGTATTAGGCTTACTGCAGATAACTTATCTGCAGTAACTGCAGAAAAAACGAATCCTATATAAATTCAGAAATATATTTAATTTGATGACTTTTAGACTCTCGTGTTGCTGGAAGAATTTTTCTTCTCCTGCACAGCCTTCGACAAATGTGTTATTTTTTTTAATGGTGGGTTTCATAAAATCTGTCTTTATAACATAAGATAAAATATCTCATTTGATATAAGATTAATAATTAAAGAAATTTTTTTCTCCTATATAGCTTTTGACAAATTTGCCATCTCTTTTTTTCTTTTTTTAAATAATAGGCCCCCACAAAACCTATCTTTATAACATAAGATAAAACACCTCAGAACCCAATGGGTGCAGCTCAGTTGGTAACTTGGCGCTGAGTTAGTGGAGTTGGATATGTGTTCGATTCCCGCTGAATGCATTCTTGGGGAGGGGGCTGAACCTTTAGCCATCACTACTCCCCCGCACTCCGGATTAGTCCCATAGCCGGCTCAAAGAGTCGAAGCTCGTGGGGATACCGGAGGGAGCCAACTCGTCTCAAAGAGATAATTAGGGTTGGCTAACTCCAAAAAAAAGATAAAACACCTCAGTGACATAAAATTAATACGACCCTTAATTTAAACAACGGAAATAATACTCTCATGCCACATGAGATTACATCATTTTCCTACACAAATTCGTTTTCCGTGCTAATTAATTTTTCTTTTCTTTTTTAATATAAAATATGGGACCCACATTTAACTTATCTCTACTTTTGTTCTCTCCTACAATCCTACAACGTAAAAAAACTTAAACCCTTTAAACAACTAAGAATAAAGAAATAGTGTACATGATTTAAATATTATTTTTGTCACTAATCCTTGTCCCTACCACCACTAGTTTCGTTATAGAATTGACCATAATACGGGTTCATAGGATATTGAATATGTATTAAATATTCAATGCAAATCCACACGCACATGTAAACCAAACAGAAATGGATTCTCTTCTCTGAAAAAAAAAAAGTAACATGGTGGTATGAAAAGATTACGATCAAGTAAAAATGAATCAACATTATAATTTTATAATTATTATTTTTAATATATTTTTTTTATTATTATCATTAATCCCTTTTTATATAGTTATAATTCTTCACATAATAATATTATATATATATATATATATATATATATTTTCACATGAGAGTATCATATACCAAACCAAAACACCTAAACAATGAGTTACTAAAAAAGATCAAAAACCTAAACATTAATTAATGGGTTATGTTTATCTCATTTTACATGAGATAAACAACTCTCCTACCCACACAAAAAAAAGTTGGGTCTCACCACTCTTTTATCTCTCTCCTTTTTCCTGTGAATCTCACTTATACTTCTATTTCTATAATATAAAATAATTTTTTTCTTATAACATAACAAAAATATATTCCTCGTTAATAGCCTATTTTGCGCAATGACCCACTTAGCCCCGTACTTTTATGTATATAAGTATATATTGGTATTTCACGGCTTTTCCTTATTCTTTAGATCTGAAACACAACGCAAAAGGGCAAAGCTAAAAAAGAGGGGTGACATACATAAACCATGGTGATGTCTGTGTTGTTGAAGTTGTTGTTTCCAGCACCACCTTCTCGATTTGTTTCCGCCATGTCAGTGATAAGCTTGGTGTCACTAGCAAACACTGGCTTGTCCGAGATAAGAGGGAAGCATTTGAATTATTCAAAGTTCTGGAATGTCAATGTCAATAATAACAATAGCAATGAAAAAAGGCAGATGAAGTTGTCAAGCAAGGCTGGTATGCTTCTTCTGTATACTCCGGCTTTTCTTGCTGGAGCTGCTTCTTTTTTTATCTTTCCTCATCATGCTCTCAGATCCATTATCCTTCAATCTGCTGTCACCCTCCATTTCTTCAAGAGAATCTTTGAGGTAACACTCTCTACCACACACTTAATAACATTCCCAATAGGCCTGTTTTGGAATTAATTTATTGCTTGGTTTATAATCAAATGTATTTCAGTAGAAACCTTAAATATTTAAGTTTTTTTTTTCTTTAATATTTTTCCAGTTTATGTTCTCATTAATTTTTAATAACAATCTCAATGTTTTGTTAAGGTGTTGAATTATAGAAATTAGTACCCTTGTGGTAAGGTTTTATCAAATACTTGAAAGCAAACAAAAACGGCTCAACATATGACTGGAAATGAGTAATTGTTGTTTTCTCAATGTTTGGGTTCGTTATCATATAGTTTTATTGCTGTTCTGTCCAAGGTTTCACTCAGTTGTGTTGGTTCTGTTTATTCAAGTATTTGGAATAAATGGGATTATGTGTAAGAAATTAGCTGCTTAGGTTATTTCAGGTCATAATTTCAACAAAAATTATCTGTTTTTTTCCCAACTATTCCAGTCTAATTTCTCATTTATTTTAAAAAATCAGTCTTCTTACTGTTTGGAAATGAGTGCTGAGCATAGTGTTTTATTCTTGTTCTGTTATGGGATTTTAAGCTGAATTAAGAATGCTGTTTTTACTCTCTTGTGTAGGTTCTTTTTGTTCACAGATATAGTGGTTTTATGGTTCTTGATTCTGCAATCCCCATCAGTCTTAGCTATTTCCTGTCAACTGCAACTATGACATATGCTCAAAACCTAACAGAGGGGCTTCCAGAACCACCAATTGATCTAATGTATCCAGGGATTGTGCTGTTTGTTGTGGGCATATGTGGCAACTTCTACCACCATTACCTTCTTTCCAAACTGAGAGGAAAGGGTGAAAAGGAATACAAGATTCCTAAAGGTGGCATGTTTGACCTTGTGATATGTCCCCATTATCTCTTTGAGATTATTGGGTTTTATGGGGTTTCATTCATTTCTCAGACCTTTTATGCCTTCTCTTTCACCATAGGCACTACTTTCTACCTGCTAGGTAGGAGCTATGCAACTAGAAGATGGTATCTTTCTAAGTTTGATGATTTCCCTAATGATGTTAAGGCTATCATCCCATTTGTCTTCTAAATGTTGCAAGGTTTAATTGATTTTGTGTGAATTGTACGTGTGCTTCAAAATTTTAGGTGATTTGAACAACTGATTTTGCAACTTTGATTGCTTTTTAATAGAGCAGCTATGGAAGAAATAAATGACGTTAAAATGTACCTAAGGCCATGTTATTTCATGGCATTATTGAAGATTGCAGACTGCAAATTTTCATGTTGACACAATGAAACATGAAGACATTACAACAGCACATCTTCTGTATTGTCACCCCTTTCAAATAACATAATATAAGTGACAACGTGTCCCTGTATATTTAGCCAATCTACATACATAGTTAAGGAAATTCAGACACTATATAGACTATATTCAGTGACATATATAACTGTTTGTTAATATACGGGTGATGACTCTGATAGATTTTTGGAGTTTTCAACGAGTTCTTAACTGATAAAAGGTTATTTTAGCTTTATCACATTTGTGATCGTCTCTTACTCAACAGGAATAGTCAATTAACCGATGAAACAGTGAAGAAATTAAAAAAAAAAAAAAAAAAAAAGAAGGATTGATGAGTTTTTTTTTTTTTTCGTAAATGATTGATGAGTTTTTCGTATTGACTTGTGGGTGATTCTGGCAAAACACAAATTAATATTAATTGAAGTATAAGCCTCTAGTATTCAAATGTTTAAAGTTTACTTTAAAGTAGTTGAATATCAACCTTTCCTATTTAAATATTGTTATTGAAGATAGTGGGTGATATTAAATCACTAAGAGGCTTGAACTCATGTATAAACCAGAAGGGAGTAGATGATCAGAATTATCATTGTACAATTATAAATATTAAAAACAGACTTACTTGATAGGTATGAAACAGACAGAATCAGAAAAATGAAAAATGCAGTATCAGAGGAATAAAATCCGAGCTCACAGAACGTGTCTCCCTAAGACAATTTGCCCCCTCACTAATGCCAAAGGTTGATGGACACTTGTCTTCCATGATAGAACGAATTTCGTCTGAAGAGTGGCGGCACTACCAGTCAATAGCCCAAACGAACACAACAAAATGTCAGAGGAAACTACACCAGAGTATGAAAAAAAATATGCAAACCGGAAGGAGAAAAATTCCGGCAGAGTTTCAGTGTAGGAAAAATTGGATCCATTTTCTGAAGGTGTCAGTGTCTATTTATAGACAACGTAAGGTCACGTTTCAAAAGGCACCTATTCGACGACGAAACAACACATTCGTTGGACACGAAAAGACACAATCGTTCAACACGAAAAGACACCCATTCAAGGATGAAACAACATGTCTGTTAGGATGAAACAACACATCCGTTAGGATGAAACAACGTATCCTTTAGGATGAAACAATACATCCTTTAGGATGAAAAGATACATCTGTTTGTCGACGAAAAGACACACATTTTCACTACCAAACTTCTTATTCATAACCAATAGATTGTCTACACAATTTATGGAAAAAATGTTTGTCATTTTAAGAGAGAGACAGACACAGAAAAAAAAATTATTTAAATTTTAAATTAAAAAAACCACCCACTTTCTCTCTCCTATGATTTCTATTTTTCTGTGTCTATCTCTCTCCTAAAATGACATAACTTATGTCATTTAAAATGGCAAACACCAAACCCTATATATAAATTCCAACAATCCCCCACATGGATAAGAAGTCAATTCATCGTGACTAGAATGCATAAGAATATAAATGCAAAATGTAATTTCCTCAACGAGAAACAACTGCATCGAGATAGGTGGAGTTACCTTTGAACCTTCTCTAGTGAAAACCTATCGGGTATACTCGGTCAATCGGTGGTCTAGGTTGACTTGAACCGTCAACCTTTAGTGTATACCTAGACAATAGGAGTCACACAATTGCTTCTCTAGCATTGTTGGTCCTTTGTTGTGCCCATTTTGGCCGTGGGACACCTGCTTGGTTCTGCGAGTGTTTTAGAGAATCGGCCTTTGTAAAATTATTATAGAAGCGGCCCTCACTTCACACTCACATAGGTGATTTCTTGTGATGTAACTCACTATACATCATCTGAACACAACAAATTAAGAAATCATTAAAAGCCTAAGTGCTTACCCTCATAAAAACACTGTCTTGTCTTAGGAATGAGTATGAGTTTAAAAACTCCACAGTGTTTGAACAGTCGACCATCACTTAGTTGTCTCTTTGAACCTAGTTCATGGGATCTCCACTCTTCTAGGTAGAGTTACCGCAATGCTCAACAATTGATAGGCCTTAAACCCATTACTTTCGACAAATTTTCAACCAACTCTCTAGGAATCCCTTTGGTTAACGGATCCTCTATGTTCTCTTTAGACTTAACATAGTCAATTGTAATGATTCCATTCGAGAGTAGTTGGCTAACGGTATCATGTCTTCGGCGTATATGTCTAGACTTACCATTATACATGACGTTCTTGGCCCTTCCAATAGCTGTTTGGCTATCACAATGTATGAATACGGTTGGTACCGATTTTGGCCAATTAGGAACATCCTCAATAAAATTATGAAGCCATTCGACTTCTTCACTGGCGTTATCTAAAGCAATAAATTCTGCTTCCATGGTTGACCTTGCAATGCAAGTCTGTTTGGACGATTTCCAAGACACTTCAGCTCCACAAGGGTGAACACATATCCACTTGTGGATCTAGTGTCGTTAGAGCCGGTGATCCAATTTGCATCACAATGCCCTTCTATAACTGCAGGGTATTTCTCGTAATGCAAAACAAAATTTTGAGTATATTTCAATTATCCCAAAACTCTTACCATAGCTTTCCAATGATTTTCATTTGGATTACTGGTAAAGCGACTTAACAGACTTATTGCATAAGCAATATCAGGTCTGGTGCAGTTCATAACATACATAAGGCTTCCCAACACTTGAGCATATAGCTTTTGTGTTGTAGCTTTACCAGTGTTCTTTAATAAACTAAGATTAGAATCTACAGGGTTTCTCACAGGGGTTATATTCAAACTTTTGAATTTCTCAAGAACCTTAGCTATATAGTGAGCCTGTGATAAGGCCAACCCTGCAGATGTTCTATGGATTTTAATACCTAGGATAACATTTGCTATCCCCATATCTTTCATATCAAACTCACTCTTAAGTAACTGTTTAGTAGCTTTAATCATTTGATTATTACCACCAATGATCAACATGTCGTCTATATATAGACAGACAATGGCAAATCCTTTTTCAGTATTTCGAACATAGACACATTTGTCACATTCATTAGTTCGAAATTCATTTGATAACAACTTTGTCAAATTTCGCATGCCATTGTTTTGGAGCTTGCTTTAACCCGTAAAGGGATTTTATTAAGCGACAAACTTTCTGTTCTTGTCTTGGAACAACGAAACCTTCAGGTTGTTCTAAATATATCTCTTCTTCCAGGTCGCCGTTTAAGAAGACGATTTTAACATCCATTTGATGTACTTCTAATCCATTAAATGCAACTACCGCGATCAACATCCTAATGGATGTGATCCTTGTAACAGGTGAATAAGTATCGAAATAATGGAGACCTTCACAGTGCCTGTAGCCTTTTACCACAAGCCTAGCTTTATATTTATCAATAGTGTCATTTTCTTTCATTTTTCGTTTGAAAACCCACTTACTCCCTAAAGGCTTATTGCCAGGAGGAAGATTTACCAATTCCCAAGTGTGGTTGGACAGGATAGACTCTATCTCACTATTGATAGCCTCTTCCCAGAATGGTCCTTCTGGGGACGTTGTAGCTTCCTTATATGTCCGAGGCTCATTTTCTAATAAATATGTCATAAAATCAGGTCCAAAGGATGTGGCGGTCCTTTGCCTCTTGCTACGTCTAGGTTCATCTTCTACATCCTCTACAGGATCAATATTAGTTGTTGCATCCCGAGGTATCACAACCTGATCATCATTATTATCACTTGATACCTGATCATCATTATTACCACTTGATTCATGTATTTTCTTATACGGAAATACGTCTTCAAAGAAAGTAACTTCCCTTGACTCAATAACTATATTAACGTGTATATCTGAAGCATCAGATTTACAAACTAGAAACTGATAAGCACTACTATTAAGTGCATAACCGATGAATACACAATCTACGATTTTAGGTCTGATTTTCAACCTTTTGGGTTTTGGAGCCGCAACCTTAGCCAAACACCCCCACACTCTAAAGTATTTCAGGGATGGCTTATTTCCTTTCCATATGTCATATGGTATATTATTTGTCTTTTTGTGAGGCATTCTATTAATAATGTAGTTAGCCGTCAAAATGGCTTCCCCCCACAAATTCTGTGGTAAACCGAACATAATTAACATAGCATTTATCATCTCTTTCAATGTCCGATTTTTCCTTTCTGCAATCCCATTTGATTGCGGTGAATATGGAGCTGTTGTCTGGTGTATAATACCAGAATCTATACAAAAATCCTCGAAGGGGCCATCATATTCTCCCCCACGATCGCTCCTTACCATTTTAATTTTCTTGTTGAGTTAATTCTCAACTTCACTTTTATATTGCTTAAAAGCAACAATAGCTTCATCTTTACTATTAAGTAAGTACACATAACAATATCTACTGCAGTCATCAATAAATATAATAAAGTATTTCTTATTACCCTTAGATGGTGTAGATTTCATGTCACATATATCAGTATGTATTAAATCTAACAACTCAGTTGATCTTTCAACTGATTTAAAAGGTAATTTCGAAAATTTTGATTCAACACATACTTGGCACTTGTTATTTAAACATTCAAATTTAGGTAATAAATCTAAATGAATTAAACTTTTAATTGACCTTAAATTAACATGTCCTAATCTATTATGCCATTAATTAGAAGACTCAAGCAAGTAAACATAAGTAGTAGTATTATTAATAATATTGGAATTGTTTACGGTCATCACATTCAGTTTGAAAAGGCCCTCACTAAGGTAGCCCTTTCCAACATACACATCATTCTTAGTAAGTACAAACTTATCAGAAACAAATACAAGTTTAAAGCCATTCTTGCTTAACAGAGATCCAGAAACTAAGTTCTTGCGGATATTAGGCACATGGAGCACATCATTCAGTGTCACTATCTTGCCAGATGTCATCTTCAAAGCCACTTTGCCCACACCTTCAACTTTTAAAGTAGATGAGTTACCCATATAAAGT